GGGGGGGGGTGAAGGGGGGGGTGAGGGAGGTGAGGGGAGTGCAGGTGGTGGCTGCACAAGAGGGCGCCCCGGAAGTGTCTCGGAAGCGCCTCGAAGGTGTCTCGGAAGTGTCTCGCCTGGTGGCTGCACAAGACCACGCGCCGCCGCTGCTCGGCGGTGGTGTAGCTCTGCGTCTCGTGCACGCGCGTCTCGCGGACCGGGGAGAGCCGGCTCCTCACCGGCTGCCGCCTCCGCACCTCGCGCACCTGAGATGTGGGGAGGTATGGGGAGGTATGGGGGAGGGATGGGGAGAGATGGGGAGGTCTGGGGAGGTATGGAGATATGGGGAGATGTGGGGAGGGATGGGGAGATATGGGGAGGGATGGGGGAGGGATGGGGAGAGATGGGTAGAGGACGGGGAGGTCTGGGGAGGTCTGGGGAGGTCTGGGGAGGTCTGGGGAGGTCTGGGGAGGTCTGGGGAGGTCTGGGGAGGTCTGGGGAGGTCTGGGGAGGTCTGGGGAGGTCTGGGGAGGTCTGGGGAGGTCTGGGGAGGTCTGGGGAGGTCTGGGGAGGTCTGGGGAGGTCTGGGGAGGTCTGGGGAGGTCTGGGGAGGCCTGGGGGAGATGCGGGGAGATGTAGGGAGAGACCTCGCGCACCTCGCCGCGGCCAAACGGCGCCCACGGCTCGAACTGCACGTCGGCGCAGCCCTGCGCGCCGAAGAAGCGGGGGTAGGGGGTGGGTTTGGGTACCGTGGGGGGTAGGGGATGGGTTGGTGTACTGTGGGGGTAGGGGAGGGGTGCGGCACCTGCGCGCCGAAGAAGCGGGGGTAGGGGGTGGGTTTGGGTACCGTGGGGGGTAGGGGATGGGTTCGGGTACTGTGGGGGTAGGGGAGGGGTGCGGCACCTGCGCGCCGAAGAAGCGGGGGTAGAAGCCGCCGCCGGACGAGAAGAGGCGCTCGCCGGCGGCGGCGGCGCTGCACGGCAGGTGGGTGCGGAGCACCTGATGGGGAGATACGGGGAGATACGGGGAGATATGGGGAGAGATGGGGAGAGATGGGGAGAGATGGGGAGAGATGGGGAGAGATGGGGAGAGATGGGGAGAGATGGCGCTGCACGGCATGGACGCGGAGATTAGCCGAGATTCAAGAGAGAGCGGCGCGAGGTGTGTGTGTGCGTGTGTGTGTGTGTGTGTGTGTGTGTGTGTGTGTGTGTGTGTGTGTGTGTGTGTGTGTGTGTGTGTGTGTGTGGTCTGGGACGAGTCGATTGGGACCGCCCAGACCAGCCCAGCCCCCCAATCGGGCTGTCTGACGCACCTCATGCCGAAGGGGGGCATCGGACGAGGCGCCCTCGCCCGTGAACGGCGCCTAGTTGCCGAGCAGAGGCTGTGAGTACCGCCAGCCTCGGGGGCGGGGAAGACGGTACCGTGCCGTGTATCTCCCCGTATCTCGCCGCATCTCGAGGCGAAGAGGAGGATGCTTGCGGGCTGAGTACCGCCAGCCTCAGGGCGGGAAGACGGTCTGTGCCGTGTCTTCAGAGCACCGCGTGGAGGCGAGGGGGTGGCGAGTGCAGTGAGTGGCGATCTGCCTGCGTGGGTATGAGCTCACTACCTAGTGAGCTCGCACTAGAGGCCGTCACCGCATTCGACTTCTGACGGCCGTCGCTGTCTCCCCCTTCCCGACTGTCTGGGTGTATCTTGTGCGTCTTTGGCCCCGGCGCTGTGCTTTCGCGTGAGTGCCCCCTCTCTCGAGCGCTAGCTGGAAGAGGCGCAGGGGACTGTGTCCTCCGCTTCCAGGCGCGACGAGCCTCGGAGAGGACTGCGCATCTCCCCATATCTCCCCATATCTCCCCAGATCTCCCCAGATCTCCCCAGATCTCCCCATAGCTTCCAGGCGCGACGAGCCTCGGAGAGGACTGCGCATCTCCCCATATCTCCCCATATCTCCCCAGATCTCCCCAGATCTAGGCGCGACGAGCCTCGGAGAGGACTGCGCATCTCCCCAGATCTCCCCATATCTCCCCATATCTCCCCAGATCTCCCCAGATCTCCCCATAGCTTCCAGGCGCGACGAGCCTCGGAGAGGACTGCGCATCTCCCCATATCTCCCCATATCTCCCCAGATCTCCCCAGATCTAGGCGCGACGAGCCTCGGAGAGGACTGCGCTCGGAGCCCGCGCCAGAGGACGAGGCGGCGTCTCGCGCCTAATCTCGGGTCATCTCGGGTCATCTCGGGTCATCTCGCCGGAGGAAGAGGCGGCGAGGGCGGCACGCGCTCGAGATATGGGGAGAATTGGGGAGATATGGGGAGATATGGGGAGATATGGGGAGATGCGGACCTCGACGAGGGCGGCACGCGCTCGCTTGCTGCGGCGGGGGAAGGGACGGAGGAGGCGGCGGAGGCGGAGGCGGCAGAGGCGGCGGAGGTGGCGGAGGAGGAGGCGGAGGAGGAGGCGGAGGCGGAGGCGGAGGTGGAGGTGGCGGGTCGGGCGACGAGAGAGCGCGAGGAGGAGGACTTGAGCTTGAGCCTAGGTGGAGACATGGGGAGATATGGGGAGATGTGGGGAGATTTGGGGAGATCTGGGGAGATACGGCCTCCGCGCGAGTCCACGGGGAGAACATGGGGAGATGTGGGGAGATGTGGGGAGATGTGGGGAGATGTGGGGAGATGCGAGTCCACGGTGGAGGCGCTACCTCGGCCATCTAGAGGACCCTGAGCCAGCGGAGAAGGCCATTGACCTCGCCGGCAGCCTCCTGCCCCCTCGCCGCCTCCCCCGCCGCAGCCGCCTCCACCGCCTCCCGCGCCGCAGCAGCCTCCTGCCCCCTCAGAGCGGGCGCGCGAGGACGGCGAGGCGCGCCATCAGCCTCCGCGCCGTCGGCGGGCGCGGCCGCGCCGAGCGTTGCCCACGCGGCGTGCAGCGGCGAGATCGCGCCGCCGGGCGAGGCGAACAGCGCGGCTGGCGCGAGCAGCGCGGCTGGCGCGGGCAGCGCGGGCAGCGCGGCTGGCGCGGGCGGGACGGGCGAAGGCGGGGACGGAGAGCCGGGAGGGCTGGGGGGCAGCAGGGCGTGGGCGTAGTGCTGGATCCGCCGCAGCTCGGAGAGGATCTCGAACACGTGGTCTGCCATCGGCGGGCCGGACCGGGTCTCGCGAGGTCTCGCGCAAGCGTACAGAGGGGGCCTTTGGCGGAGGGCGGCGGCAGCGGCGGGGAGGCGCGAGTGCCGGTGTGGCGGCGTCGGCGGGCGTGCGAGCTTTGCGGCGGTCGCGACTGCGGCGCCGGTGCGAGGGGAGGGGGGCATGCGGCAGTGCAGCGCCGGGATCAGGCCAGGCTGTCGCGGAGCGTGTGCTGCGCAAACCTCTCGACGCAAAGAAGGACGCAAAGACGTGCCGGTCGGAGGCGGTGCAAATCTCGATGCTGGGATTGATGATGTCGGCGACCGACTTGCGGAACGAAACCACCTCGCGCAGCGGAAGGACCACCACCGTCTTGACGCCGAAAATATCAGACCGAAAGCAGACGTACTCTGATGAGATGTACATCCGCCCGTGGAGCATGATGCGGCGCTTGATCGCGCAGGAGAAGTCCTCGATGAAGACGCCAGGCGTTGCGAGCGCGAAGTGCTGCTGCATCGCCCGCGTTGCCATTGAAGAGTTGTTTGTGCCCCCACAGTAGCACTGGTTCGCACAAGGACGGTCGCACGGTCGCGGCGGATGGGCGACTGCCGTCAAAATAACCTTGAGTCGTCTGATGTGTATAGGTGTGTACAAGAAACTATTTCTCAACGCCTAGACGCCATTCCTTGAGGCTTGGTTATGTGAGTGGGGTGGACCCACAGATCATGCAGGAGCAATAGGGAAGAAATCCGCAGGTACGTTTTGGAGCTATGAAGGGTTAAAGTTGGAGTTCCGAGCAGCTCCTCGGGGCCGGTCGGGGAGGCACTCTCGGGGAGGCTTCTAGCGCGCCAATCACTCAGCTAGCAGCTCCTAGAAGGCCGAGGTGTAACTCATATGATTTCAGATATATATGAGTTACTTCACTTTGGCTTAAACCGGCTGTGCCCGAGCTTGACGGTGCGCCACGCTGCCACCACCGTTGCTCCGTTGGCCGCTCGGGCCTCACCTCACTCTCTCCGGCCCCTTCTCTTGGGTCTTTGTCACCTAGGTCCTCCCCTGTGCACAGCTCAGAAGATATCTTGGGTCCCTCTTCCTAGCCCCTTATACACACTTCTTAGCTTTAAGGAGCCGCATACACAAGACAGCCTGACTACGACAACAAAGTGGCCGTTTCACGGAGCACCGTGTTGCCTTCGGTGGCAGCGGTGGCAGGGTGGTGTGGCGCAATAACAACCTCGACCCGCGAGCCCTTGCTTGGCATGCTAGCAGGGGCATGTCCTGCTTGACCAGGAAGGCCAGTCTCTCCACCTCTAGAGCCTGGGGCGGCGAGATTCAGCGAGACTGCTGCGATTTCCCGGCTCGCGACCCGTCTGCTGTGCGAGCAAAGGCGCACTTCGGGCGCCGTGGGGGGCGCAAAAGCGCGTTTCACGCTGCACATCTGACTAGAGAGTTGTAGTCCCGGGTCCGCACTACAACCCCAGAGTCGGAGATTTGGTGTCAGTCGCTTGTCCGCGCCCTCCAGGGCGCGCGCCGCCGCGGCTGCCGAGGCGACAGCTGCGCATGAAGGCGTCGACCTGCAGCCTCTGGCTCTGCGCCTCCTCCTCCTTCTTCCTGGCGGCCGCCGCCGACCGCCGCTCTCGCTCTTGCCCGCCCGTGACCGGCTCGCCGACCAGCTCGACCACATCGTAATGCATGCTGTGACCGGCACAAGTTGACCGTAGTCAATGCACCGGTCACCTCGAAGCGCGAGGTGAGCGTGAAGTGCTTGGGCCTGCCATCGGTCGGTATCCACACCGCAACGTTCACGGAGCGCAACCGCGAGTAGGCGAGGATCTCGAGCGCGCCGCCCCAGCAAACACGGCCTCGGCACCGCTGCATTTGCAACGCGTAGTCCTTGACCGACAGTTGCTGGCCACATTCATGCTCGATCCACTTGGCGATGCGCAGCCCGTTGTGCACATAGTTGCCGTGCTCCTGCAGCCACTCGGCACATTGACGCCGAATGCTGGCGGGCGTCGCCGCTCCAAAGAGCCACCCAGCGTCTTGCTGCTCGCAGTACGCGAAGGAATTGAAGAGGCACGAACCGTCTGGGGTCTGGGCCACGAGAGTACCGCGCCGAACGACAGCCTCCACGTCTGGGGAGAGGTTGCGCCTTGGGCCTTGCAACTGCGCGTCCGGATGCTTCCCGCGAGGCTTCGGGAAGTGTGGGCAGTCTATGGTCCGATGACGTTCGCCGCACCTGTCGCAGCAGGCCATGAGGCGAGACTCTCGAGCACCTTGGCACTCGCGCGAGAGCTCGACTTTTGACACGCGTGAAGAAGAATTCTACCTGCGTCTCGACACTGGAGCGCCGGCCCGCGACACCATCACCCGACGAGCGCCGGCCGCTAGTGATAGCCGCGCCACGCACGCGACGCGGCGGCGTTTCCTCACGGTACGTGAGTGTTGGTGGCGCTGTCGGTGGCAGCGCCACCGCAGGCATGGCACGGTGCGCTTGCCGCCTGGACGCGACGCCACGGCCGTGCGCGCGATGACGAGCGCCTGCGGCGCATCGCCGCCACGATCACGGCACACCGTGAAGTGACACGCGACGTGGCGTTTCCTCACGGCACGTGAGTGTGCGGTGGTGGCGCTGTCGGTGGCAGCGCCACCGCAGGCATGGCACGGTGCGCTTGCCGCCTGGACGCGGCGCCACGGCCATGCGCGCGATGACGAGCGCCTGCGGCGCATCGCCGCCACGATCGTGACGCACCGTGGAGTGAGGTCGGGAGAGAGCAGGGAGTGTGTAGTGAGAGGCGCAATGGGCCCACCGAGAGGCGCCGCACCGCGTGCTTCAATGGGACGTCCACGAGCGAGGCAACGGCGAGCCAACGGCACCGTCCGCCGCAGAGCGCCAGCGCGGCGCGCCGAAGCAGCGAGGAGCCGCGCGCCGCCGCCCAGCGGCGCCTCGCAACAGTACACTCCGCACCGAGCAGTCGTCGAGGCTCTGCCGGGTGAAGTCACAGCCTGTTTGCATCGCCGACGCGTGGCTCAGACGCGTGCGGCGACGCTGCTGGGTCTCTCCGTGTGCCTGGGAGTGCGTGGACCGGCAGCTAAGGCTGTGGCGGATGGCTCGCCGGCGACTCGCTCGACGCTCGCAGCACTCGGCGGCGAGGAGGCGGCGCAGCCGAGTCGCGTCGCGAGCCACCGCTCGGGCCTGCTGGCAGCCTGCTGCGGACCCTGTGGCACCCGCCGGCCACGAGTGGAGCCGGGAGGAGGCCACGGGGGCGCTGCAAAGGCGGCGGCGGCGGCCATCCTGCGGCGTGTCGCGCCAGACGAGTGGGGGCTAAAGAATTTAAACCTCAATCTCTCTCACTTCCTGAGACGAGCGAGGGCAGCCTCCTTAAAGGCAATGGGGTCTAGATTCGGAGCGCTCGCCGAAGAGGAGTACGACAAAATAGCGCCCGTGATTGCATGCACGCTGCCCGCACTCACGGACCCCATACCCGAAAGAAAGAGAAGGGAGCTCGCGGGAGAGGTGACGAGTGAACTACAGGTAGTGGGGAAGGCAGCCTCGATCGCCATACTCACATGGATGCGAAACAACGACAAGACCAAGGCACGGGCAGAGGAACGAGAGAAGAATATAGGCTGGATAAAGCGCCTGTTCACGGCATGGAGGGTGAGCCACACCGAACGTACCGAACGTAGAGCCGAGCGGAGGGAAACGGGGGAAGACGACCCCGAGGAGGACGAACCAGTGGAAATACCGTTGTCAGCCGTCACGATGCACCCGAAGGGGACCCCAGCGCCGGCATCATCCGTGAAGGCACAAGTGTTCGAAGAGAGAGTGGACCTGAGCAATGATATGACTGGGTGGCAAATGATCGCAGTGGGCGTCAGAAGACTCGTCCTTGCGCGAGGAGAGCTCGATAGACTCGAGGGGCCAGGATATGCAGCGAGGAGGGCGGAGCTGCGCCGAAAGGCGAAAGAAGCCGCGAGAACAAGGGACCGGCAGGCGGCGGCGGCGTCGCAGAACGAGACAGAGGAGAGCGACACGACAGAGGAAGAAGCGACAAGGGAGAGCACGACGAGAAGGGGGCGACCACGAGGTGGCACGAAGGTCGCAGCGAGAATCGGAGAGAGACTGCGAAGAGAGATAGGAAGAGGCGGACGCCCAAGGGTGGGCGACGGCTAGTGCACCACACCCCTCTCCTTAAAATCCCTGTGTGGTGGCGGCGTGCCGTCCTCCCATCCCTCCCTTGGGTTGTCCGTTTTCTTTCTTTTCTTTAGCACACAGGCTCGACACAGGTGCGAACTGGCGCGTGCTAGTACTATCACCGGCACACCACCGGAGCCGCCTAAGCGACTCCGTTAAGAACGGCAATGCACTTAGCTCCGTGCACAATGCCGCTGTCCCCGCACGCTAGCTCGTTCACCGTCTGCCACGCCACGGCGGTGTGGAGAACGACAGACAAGCGCTGCATCTGCAGCCCGTGCCAGTTCTTGGTGGTCCATGTGACCTCATCGAGGTGCTGAGCGTGCGAAAGTTTGTTACTCAGCTGGTCCGCCGCCTGCCGAAGAATTTTGCGGACGCCGTCCCCGAAGCCGCCGAACGTCTCGAAGTCGAGCAAACGCAGGTCGCAATTCTTCTCCCGCGCGAACCGGTAGTCGCCCTTCACGTAGGGGGCCGTCACAGGTGCCCCCGCCTCCGCCTCCCCCTCACTCTCCCCCTCCTCCTCTTCCGCCGCCGCCGCCTCCGCCTCTGCATCCTCCGCCTCCCTCCCCCCCTCCCCCCCCCCCTCCGGCCGCGGCCATGCAGCATGCCCTAACACTAAGTCGAGCAGCGCCCGCTCGGTGTTGCCGAAGGCGACAAAAGCCCCCTTCCGCTGGGCGCGTCGGCACGGAGCAGTGCGGCGCCCTCGCCAAGGCCTCCCGGAGGTTGTGGGCACAGCCCGTCGAGAGCATCTCTGCCATCGATCGTCGCCACCTCCGCCGGGGCCCAGCGCCGTGTCCGGCAGACACGAGACGCGCACACGCGCCCCGCGCAGACGCGCCCATCTCTCCTCCCGGCCAGGTACGTCGTCCCGCACGAGGAGCAGATCGCCTTCCTCGGCGACGCGCGGCCACTCGAGGACTCGGAGGAGGACGAGGACGAGGATAGCGAGGATGACAGCGAGGAGGGCGAGGACCGAGGAGGGCGAGGAGGGCGAGGAGGGCGAGGAGGGCGAGGAGGAGGGCGAGGAGGGCGAGGAGGGCGAGGAGGAGGGGGAGGAGGGCGAGGAGCTGTGGTTCGACACGTGCCAATCCACTTGGGGATAAGGGACCGCTTCTCTGGTAGGACGGGAACGAGATGATAGTAGGGAGTAGAAGAAAGCAAAGAGGAGCCCTGCGCACGCACGACTCCGCACAGAGAGGTGGCGAGCTTGATCCGCCTCTCCTCGATGCGCCGCCTCTCATCTGCACCGCCGGACTGCATGCGGAGCATGTCCGTGAAGTCCTCGAGCCTTGTGTACGGGTCCGAGGCGGTGGACTGAAAGAGGACGGGGAGCGAGGAGCCCTTGAGCAGGCGAGGGATCTGGAGCGCGAGCATCGCCGGGTTGGCGGCCGCCGTCCCGAAGCTCTGCACAATAGCCCCTTGAAGAAGGCCGGCTATGATCCGCGCAGGGGCCGCCAGAGGAAGGCGGGCCGCCCTCGTAGCCGTCGGCCCCAGACAGAAAGAGAGCAGCGAGTACGAGAGCAGAGGCAGCTCCCCGTCCACCTCGAGCGCGTGAAGCGGGAGGTGCGTGAGGAAGAGCAGGTCTGGCGGTCCGGGCATAGCAGGGACTGCTGCCCCACAGCCGGGCCTCCTCGACCCCGGCCTCGGCCTCTCCCCGCGGCCACCGCTGGGACGGCGGGCGCGTCAATGTCCTCACCAAGAAAAATGTCTGTGTGCGCGATCCTCCAGACACCCGGGTTGGCCATCACCAGGTCGGCGAGCCGCTGGTGCAGCACGCCGATCTTCTCCATGGAGGTGGCGAAGAGGTTTGCAGCATCCAGAGCGGTCAAGAGCCGCGACCAGAATGCTCCGTTGAAAAACACATTGAGAACGTGATTCCCATCGAGGAGGGTGCCTGTCTGCTGGTCCCCGCTGAACTGGCACCTCGGCAGGAAGGCGCCCTTGGCGTCGCTCTGCCCCAGGGTGTAGCTGGCCACTGCTGCTGCACCGTTGTACACGGTAGCCCAATTCAAGAAAGACGTGTGGTCCCTTACGTGCTGAGCACCTGGAGCGAGAACGAGCATTGCGTCGCTGTTGATCTCTGAACCTCGTCAACGACGACGGCGATGGGAGCCAGCGCAGCTGGCGGAGCCTGCTGCTGCGCCATCTCCACTTGTCCTCTCCTCTCCTCCCACCTCACAGAAAACTGCGGCCGCCAGCGACTGAGCGTCTCGCTGGCGGACGGGGAGAGGAACACAAAGGGACGTCCGGACGTCCATCCACTGGGATGAGAATACTGGAGATCTGAGGTCGAATCTGCCGATTCCACAGCCGCCCACAGGAGCGCCGCCTCAACACGGGGTCTCGGCTCTATCGAGCCATGCTAGCTCCAGCCGCAGCCCCACCCGGCCGCCCGAGGGTGTTCCCGCAGGCAGAGAAGACCAATCCTGGGGGAAGTAACCGTATTGTCCACAATTCCATGATCATATGTCGCGCTGGGGCGCGCGCGCAGGGGCGCAGCACGGTCCGGCGCATCCGATTGAATGGCGATTGTGTGGCACTCATTCTCTCCGTCTGCTACACGACACATAGAGCCCTACGAAATATACGACATTTTTCGACATAGGGCCAAAGCGCAAAGCCGACAGACGTTGGGCGATTAAGTGTTATGTTGGGCGCCGCCCGAGAGCAAACTCGCGGCGCGGGCGGCGCCCCTCATCGCTCTCTCACGGCCTCACTCCGCTGAGCTCTCCCACTACGAGGCAAGCGAAGACGCAAGCTTGAGCGCGCGCCAGAACGCCGGCCCCGGCGGCCGTGAGCGTGACGGCCACGGCAGCGGCGACCTCGAGCGACGAGATTGGCTCGACCACCTGGTCGAGCGACGAAGCGAAAGTGGGCGACGGGGTGGGGAGGAGTGGGGACACGTGAGATATATAACATGGGACGGCGGGAGAGCTCACCTCGCCGTCGATGTAGTGCATCGCCTTTGGATTCGCGGCCGCCACGACGAGGCGGGCGAGGGAGGGGCAGACCGCCTCGACGAGCGGGACGAGGTACTTGTTGCGCGCGACGACGGCCCCGCTGTTGTACGAGGTCGCGACGCCGTCGACGACCGGCCAGCCCCCGTGCTTGGTGAGCGGGCTGTGAAGCCCTTCGGCCTCGACCGAGGCGATCCCGAGGACGGGCGCCTGGGAGGGGGGGGGGGGGAGATTTAGCATCAACAGAGCAGGGGTGTGATATGCTGGGCTATTGGCGCGCGCCTGCACGAGCGTGCCCGCGGCCGGCGACGCGATCCAGACCGTCTCTCCGACGGCAACCTCGGACGCCTGCTTGAGCGCCTTTGCCGGGCCGGCGGGCAGCTTGTGCGTCGGGGTGAGCGTGACCGTCGCCGTTGCGGTCGTCAGCGAGAGGAAGGCCGCCTTGGCGGACGGGTCGGCCAGCGAGAAGGAGGAGACGACGTCGAAGCCGAGGGTGCCTGGTAGAAAAGAAGCGACAGTGAAACCAGTGAAACCCCTCTCACCCGGCATCGAAAGCGAGGGTGCCGTCGGCCGCCGCAGCGAGGATCGAGTCGCCGGCGGAGAGGGAGGAGAGGAGGGCGGTAACGCCGTCGGCGCGCTGCACCGTCGCCGAGCTCGGGAAGCACGGCGGGTCCGTGGACTGCGGCTCCACGTCAGGTGAAGGCGATGAGGGCGGCGGCGGCGTGGGCGGGGCGGAGGGCGGCGGCGGCGCGACCGCGCGCGGCTCGGTGTCCTCGCGTTCGTTGACGTTGGGGTCGACCTTGCTGACGGGCTGGTTCAGGATATTGCCGGCTTGGGTTGCAGACATCTCCGCGAACTCATAGTTCGCGTTGCGCACGGCGGAGAGTGTGTTGCCATCCTTGAACACGCTCGCCGTGCTCGAAGCAGTCGTTTGCGCAGTCTGGAGTGCCCGACGGGCTGCCGATTGCTCGACGGGGTGGAGCGTCACGGTGAGGTCGCACTCTGGCACGAAGCAAAGCTGCGCAGAGCGGAAGGAGGCCTCGAGTTCGGTGACGTCGATGCCGTTCACTTCGGCGGAGATCGTGACAACGATGGTGAACTTGATCACGGACACTTCCTCCACGACAATGCCCTCGGGGAGGGGTGAAAAGGGCG